TCCTTAGACCCTAACCCTGGACCCTGGAAAGTGGACCCTGTGTCTACCTGCCTGCAAGCTTATGTATACAATGAGTTTATGCAGTTTCTTTGTTTTGATGTGACACTCTCATTAAAGAACCTTAAACTCTCTCTCTCTCTCTCTCTCTCTCTTTATTTCAAGTTCCATCAATTTCAAATGTTTTATTTATGAATGGCTAAGAAACATTTAAAAAATCAAATATCAAACAAACTGTAATAAAAACAATGAGGAATAAATACTTAATTGAATAAGGTGATATAAAAAACCTTGTGATGAGTAAGTATGAACATATGCATATTAACCCTTGTCTCAGCTGGACGCTCCCCTCCTCTCCTGGTCTTCTGGGTCACAGCACTACAACAGCACAGAGGATCACCAGCAGACCACTGAGCAGTGACCACCTCACTATGTAGAAGTAAATCCCAAAGGGCTCTCTGTGCTTCAGAAGAATCTTATTTGTTGACTCACACAGATCATCTGGGCCTATAACTGCACACCAATACTCTCCTGTGTCTTCCACTGAGACATTAGAGATGACCAAGGTGGCAGCAGGGTTAAATATACTTACTCTGCTCAGATCAGACATTACATCTAATTCACTAAAGTTTCTGCCTTCTGTTCGGTTCGAGTTCATGAACCAAGTATGTCTCTTACCCTGTCTCCAATCTCTGCACCTGAGAGTGACTTCATCTCCCTCTGAGAAGAACTCTACAGCAGGTGGGCCAAATTTGGGGCACACCAACAGAAAATATATTTGCACACTGATATAGCCTTTACAGGAGTACCAACCTGAGTGATTTAGCATTAGTGATGAAAACACCAGTGAGTAGTTTTGGCCCACCTCAGTTTTGGAGGAGGTGGACGAATCAAACTTTATCCAACGTGGGGGCTGGTCATCATTATAATTAGAGACAACACACTGCAACACAGCTGTCTCTTCCACTGAGCGGTAGATTATCTCTGGTTTTAGGAATAACTGTACAGGGTGACTGCTAACACACTGCTGTTGGTTCATCACCAGACAGATGTACAATGTAAAGATTTCTTTTGTGAGGTTAGATTGATGAAGAGCTGCTTTGTTTTTCATCACTGTAACATTGTCCATCAGTGATGTCCTAGAGTCCCCCAAAACTCTTGTCCATATGTTTTCCTTAAAGTCACGCTTGAGCCACTGGATATCCAGATTGTCAGCCGCTCCCACACATGGCAGGTCCGCTGTTCCCCCAAGACTCACTGGTATAACTTTTATCTCATCTATTGTACTACAAATAATAATACTGAGGTTTTTCTTATACGTCCCTTTGCCCTCAGTCCAACACTCCTCTTGGTACTGGCCGGAGTCTGAATGGGTCAGGTTGTGAATCATGTAAGAAGAAATATTCTCCCTGCTGATTCACTGAAAGTCGTTGTTTCAGGTCTTCGGCTACTGTGGAGTTCACAGACCTGAGGTCAGAGGTATTCCACAGGACAAGCTTCTCCTCACCAACAAATCTGGAGATCAGGGCAGAAGTCGGCCTCCTTGTTGGGGTTGAAGATGTAAGAGCCCCTTTCCTCTTGGATGATGATGAGTTCTTCTGCATCAATGTTGTTGATGAGAGCAAACAGCAGGAAGGAGAGCTCTGTGACTGCAGCCATTCTGCTCTGAGGTCTCCTTGTGAGTGTCGTGCAAAGACCGACACCACTCCCCTCATAAGCTCTATGTCATGTGCAGTGAGAAAGTGCTAACCAACAAAGAAGACTAAGAGTTCACAGTCATGCTAGCAGCTCTGTGAAGCTGTACTTTAGCTGAACATGCTCACAATGATAATAATGATAACTAAAAACATTTAGTAAATATAATGTTTACCATCTTAGTTTAGTGTGTCAGCATCCCAAGAGTTTTTAATTAGTACTAAACATGAAGTACTGCTGAGGATGAGGGAATGTCTTTGAGTTTGCAGGAATTTTGTCATAAACCAAAGTACAAATTTACCAATGAAAAGAAAAGGGATCAGTTCATCCTCAGAAAAACAGAAATATCTGAACTAAATGTCATGGCATCTAATGGTTGTTGAGATATTTTGACATTGCCATCAGCGCCACACTCTGAGCAGGCATGTCTGAGCATGGCTACAAGTTGGACTGCAGGTCAGAACAGTGCACATTTCTTTTCAAAGCGGTTTGTTAAGAATTTGGACCAAATCAACTTAGAGCAGAAAACTGAAGGAGTTTGAAATATATATACATTTCCATGGCAGAAATGTAAGAGGAAATGGAGCCAAAACCACAGAGGCCAATGTGCCGTCAAACTCATATAATTAGGAAACCACCTGTGAGAAGTGTGAAAGCTTGAGTAATAATGTTTGTCTGTATCTATGGCTGTGATGAGAGAGAGAGAGATGAGCATAAATACATGCAAAATAAATACATAAAAATAAAAGTAAGGTAGTAATCTAGACTACTTCAGTGTGAAGCTTGTTATTTTTTGAGCATTTACATTTCTTTTACTGTGATTTGTCCTATAACACATTCCTGTTGCCCCAATATCTTTATTGCAGTATATCATAGACCTGTCTGTTTTGTTTGTCTGTTGCTGCCCGTTTTCGTTAGAGTTAGAATTGCCAATAAGGCACCCATAAAAGGAGTAGTTTAGATTTAATGTTATTCAAGTGGGGGGATTTCCACAATACAGATCAAAATTCAAGTAAGGGATGCTGACGTATCGCTGTAGTCCCTAGTATCAAAGCTTCAAAACTGCTGAAGCCTACATTTCCCAACACACAAATTAATCATCTTCCTTTTGACTCATAGTTAAGTGTTGAATATCTCCCATCAATATCACAACACTGGACGGCTGTATCGAGTCATGTTGTGTTTGTCACGTTCTGTATCTCTGTCCCTCCCTCCAGCCACATTTCCACATCCCCTTCATTTCCATTCTCTACCTGTCCACCAGATGCCCTCAGAGTTTTCCACCTGAGGACCTGCAGTGTATGTAGATAGAAATGGCTCATTCTAAGGTAATAAAAACATAATGGTTCATCTTTAAACACCAATGAAACATAGTTACAGTATTTCACAAAAGTGAGGACCCACTGAAGAAATGACACTTTGCTACAATGTAAAGTAGTGAGTGTGCAGCTTGTATAACAGTGTAAAGTCCCCTCAAAATAACACATCACACAGCCATTAATGTCTAAACTGCTGGCAACAAAAGGGAGTACACCCCTAAGTGAAAATGGGAATTTCTGTACTAAAAAGACTTGGAAGATACCCACTTAATTTGTCTAACTCAAACTGCTAAAGCCTCTTATTAGCTTCAGCTTAACTTTAAAAAACTGGGAACATGTCTTTTTTCGTCAGGAAGTTGCCCTGTGAAATTCAGTAAGACACCTCTGAACACATCTACATTGCTGTCACTTGGTTTAAAAGACAAAGCCTTGAAGTTGTATGACTTCATATTTACATTTTTATTTTCCTGTAATTAAATAGCATTTAATTAAATGAATCCATATTTGCATTTTATAGAAAAGTAAAAAGACAGTTACATATTCAAAAGATTTAAATTACTTAAGCTAGTTTTATGTGTTTCTTAGTTTTGTCTTCCAGTGTTAAGTCTGGTCGGCCTATGTGGAAGAATCTTCACTTTTTCCACTAGATGTCGCCGTCTTGTTTTTCTTCACAACATTTACCACTGCATCTTGTAGTCAATTTTTTCTGGTTTGTTGAACAGTGTGCTTTGTGGAAACAATGCATGTTGTCTTCAGCAATTCAGTAATGATCATCAAACATTTTTTGGTTATTGTTTTTATGGTTTGGAAATCAAATTGTAATCTGAATAGGTTTTTAAACTGAACAAAGGAGGAATTGTTTGTATCCAAGGTTTGTTTGATTTAGGCTCGTTTTTTTTAATAAGATAGTTTTCACCTTTGTTGTTTTCTTCTGTTTTCTAAGTGAGACAGGGTAAAATATTAAAAGTAAGTCAGTGTTTAATCCTACAAATCACAACATCTTCACAGTGAATTTATTTTTTCAGCACATGTTAAAAGAATATGTTATATATTCATGAACTGCTTTGCCCTTTATTGTTAAACAGATAAATTATGATGTGGAGTATGGAAGCCTAAACAGAAGGACAGATCAGAAATCCCACCCACCTTGTGCTGCTGTAGAATACATTGGAAAGCACTTTCTTGCATTATCACCAGTATTTTTTTTGTTTTTTAACTCTAAGATTTTCAAAGACATGGTGCTATTATAAACGCACGACAGTGTCTTAGTCACTGGTACAAAAATAGGTACGCAAAGCTCAAACACAAGCACCGTACGCAGATAAGGAAATGTGTGGTTCTGACCTTTCTCAGCCGTGAATATTGTGACACTGACACAGTTTTTATATTGCAGGACTGCAGTGAGACAATGTGTAATCTCACATTTGATTTTGATAAAGAATGCATTTTTTTCCCTTAATGATTTTACATGTAACATGAAAAACTTCTTAATCTTGTATATTTTGTAATGTAATAATTTGAGATGAATTTAAACAACAAAATAAAGGTGAACACAATATTACAGTAGATATTGTATTTAATATATATTTTCATAAATGTTCAATGTTGATGGAATCATAATTATTATTATTACCTCTCATAAATAGCTTTTTAAAACACATTTTCCCTACTCTGTGTCTTAAAATGTTTCAGGTGTTATGTAAAGTGCTGGTCATGTGCAGTGTCCCTTATAAGTTCCTACTTCTTTATTGTTTTTGATCCACTACTAGAGTTACACATTGAATGCATCGCTGTTATCCAGGGCTTGGAGAGAAGTAGAATATCGGACTTGTTTTTGTGACAACGAACGCACCAACGCTGGCTCCCTACCGCACCAGCCAATCGGCGGCGAGCGATGCTGAAATGAACCAATGGCATGTCCGGAGCGGCGTGTAAGTGGGCGGGTGTTTCTGTGCAGCAGGCTTCTCTGTGCCCAGCTAACAATAGCCTGGGATCGGCAAGTTTACTGTTAAAAAAGCAGCCAGGAGGCCGACAGAGCGGAGCGGAGCTGATCCGAGAGGAGAGCAGAGTTAGCCGAATACATGAGACGGTGTGTCCCGGTGTCGGAAATTTCCACTCTACACTCTGGGATTTACATTTGCAACCAGACAAGTGGTGAGTGACCATTTCTACTTTATTTCTAAACCCTTAAATTTATTCCGTCATTTCCATTCTCAGCCAGGCATGGTGCGGCGTGAATTAACGTTACTTGAGGGGCTCGCTTGCCTGTGAATAGGAAGGGGTTAATGGTCACTGTAGGCTGGGATAACGCTATTATTCCCTTATTCTTTATCTTACATGCATGCATTAAAACGCCCGGACTCTGCAGGCCCATCAACACGCACACAGCGGACTTGAAGTCAGCCACGACGAGGTTATAACAGTCGGAGGTGGTGGATGGTGTGATTTATTTTTTTTATTACACCGGTTTCCTCCCAGTTTACCAGCTGGCTGTGATAACAGGGAGTTTTTTTTTTCTTCTTTTTTGTGGCGAACTGATAACACGACAAGGCGTGTATCGAATGAATGAATGGACGAATGAATGGGTGAAAGAAAGAAATCCTGCCTGTGTTTCCACTTTTCCATTTCTGAAATCTACCTCCAAAGGATACCTCTGACATGATTCATCAGAAAGTCCATGCGGTGCCCAAGAATAGACCGATACACTGCTCTGCTCCCACTGCGACGCCCTCAAATCTCTGAAATGGTTCTTTAAGTGCATTATTGAGCTCTTGTTGGTGTGATAAGTTCTCATTAGAAAAGCAATCACGGTTTATTTATTTTCTCAACCAGACAGAGCTGTTAGAAAGCAGAAATCCGCTCATATCTCGTAAAGTATCTATCTGACAATCCCTTACTCCCATTACTATGAGGCTATCAACGTGTCTGCAGTAATCAGAAGTGACTTAACAGTGAGCTCCTGCAGATTCACATCAGCACCTGCTTTATCTTTGCTGTAAACTTTCTTCTAGCTCTTCATACGTGCACAGTAATCTTTCTGAAATGCACTGGGGCTCTTGTTTCCACATGGCTCAGCAGAAATCACTGCACTTCTCTTGATCCTGCAGCTGGTATGTAGGCTATGTGTCAGTAGATTTTTAAAATTTTTTAGAGGCTTTGGCGAGTTTATCTGCTGCATCTTATTGATTACAGACATGCAGACAAGGGTGCTTTTTTAATCAGCATTTAGGAGAGTCTGTTCCCTTCAAACTCAGTCTAATTTTTTACTCAGCTGGACAAATAAACTGATTTCTTCAGCTCTCTGTATTTCATGCATACACTAAAAGCCCTCCTCCGGCTAAGTTGGGCTGAAGTTGCCCTTCGGTCCCTGTTATAAAAAGTTTGTAATAAAAGAATGACCAGTTTCCTGGATAATGAAAAGCTGTTAAGTGTGAGAAGCTGATTAAAGGTGTTGGTGGTTCACTCCTGAGCTGTTTGTTGTACTGGAAGACAAAAAATTTAATTATTTAGTGATGATTTAATATAATTTTCCCTTTTTGTGACTGATGTTACTTTACTATTAAGTTGCACACCTGTATGAGGGGAGATGATAGTGGAGAGATGAAATTAATTCCAGTCAAGTGATTATTGGCTTGTCATTTTGTTTATCGGCTTCCTCAAGGAACCCAGAAAGTTCCTCACCTCTGAACCTCTGCTGTAAGTTTCAATTTACATGTGTGCATTTAAATGAAGCCAGTTTAACCACTAGGAGTAATTGGTTTGTATACACTCTTCAGTGTGTAGTAGAATACTGCATTAAATGTTAATAATTATCCAATTTTTGACCCTGATCCACAGATGGACGTTCAAAATCAAATTTTCAAGATAGTCCTGAAGAAAATGAAAGTTGAGTTCTGATATTAGACATGGGGGAAAAAAATTCTATTTATGTATTAGTTGATGGAGAAAATTAACTGCCAACTATTTTGATAATTAATTAATCATTTGTAATTTATTTTGACCATTGATGTTTAGGGCTACAACTAATGATAATTTTTATTATTGATTAATCTATTGATTATTTTCTTGATTACTTTTTAGGTCTGAAAATTGATGTCCTCAAAGGTCTTCTTTTGTCCACAACCCAAATACATTGAGTTTACTGTCATAGAGGACTAAAGAAACCAGAAAATATTAACATGTGAGAAGCTGAATTTAGAGAATTTGGACCTTTTTTTCTTTAAAAAAGTGGAGGGCTGAAACAATTAATTGATTAAATCAATTACTAAAATGCATCAACGCAAATTCTTTGCATCGACACTTCGTTTAATCCATACTGTATAGCACACTGTTTGGCACGGACATTTGTTACTGTCGCACTTCGAGCTTACGCTGTGAACACGACGTGATTATGATGGAGCCGTTTGCAAAGTGGAGGAAGAGAGAGAAAATAGCGAGGGACAAAGAAGAAAGTGTCCAAAGCATGTGATTATTTCAGGCTAAAAGAAAACAACAACTCTGTAATGTCACAGTCCGTCCACCGTAAAACGAAACGTATGTCGCCTTGGCAACAGCACCTGATCAGAAAGCACCCGGTGTTCTGCCAGCGGACCACAGACAAGGTAACAGCAACTTTAGCATTTAACTGAAATCATGATTGATTGTTGAGTTGAAGGCTAGCCAAAGTAAGCTCAGCTGAAAATGTGCACACGTGTGTTTGTTATTCCTCACCTGGTTGGGCCGTGAGTTGACTGGGTGTCGGGTAGCCGCCAAGCAAAAAGTATTCTTAAACGACACATCGATGAAATAATCTGTAGAAGCTCGAGCACTAAAATCATCGTTAGCTGCAGCCCTAAAAAAGTGTTTAATCGATCATCAAAATAGTTGATGATTTAATTTAATAGTTGTCATCTAATGATTGGTCGACTAATTGTTGCAGCTCTATTTTGGACTCAGAAAAAAAGGGATGGACCCTTTTTATTTTACTATCTTTTTTGACATTTTATAGGCTAAATGATCAATCTGGAGAATAATCAATTGAATCGATACTTAACATTTGCTTTTAAGAATCTTTTAAATTACATCATATTTAAATCTAGTGTTAATGTAACTGGAATTTTCTTTTATGCATTTAACAAATTGGGATTGTTGGGTCTCCATTATAATTTAAATTGTATTATTGGTTTGAAGAAGCCTTTCTAATGATAGATCGACTGTTCTGGTCATCGGTAAAGATGTTTCTAAAGCAGCAGCTTCAAAACAAGTGCAGTAAATGAAGTCAGTGAAATAAGCCTCTGCCAATGCAGGAAGTCCACTTTCAAAGTGTAAAGTGCTGAGGGCCTGGCGGCCAGTCACATCTGATCAGAAACATGAATGGAAACTCTTGATTCAGTTATTGATACACAAGCGTTCCATGTTAATTTAACCTCAGAAATGTTTCCGTAGTCCGACTGAAAAGGCACAAATGGACTTCCTGGTTTCCTGGCAGTGAGATGAACCCATGGATTGGTTTAAGGCCAGTGGCGGCACACTGTGTTTGCCATGGAGACCTGGGTGTGGCCAAAGGAGTATTTTATGACCCTGTGTGAAGCGTGAGGCCACCCAGTTGTCGCTTTGACACCTCGACAGCATGACGGAGAGAGCGAGGAAGGCTGGGAGGAGTTAATGACCCATTTGGCTCCTGTGGCTTTGGGCTCGGCTACTTCAGGAGAATAAGCTGTGTGTGTGTGTGTGTGTGTGTGTGTGTGTTACCACGTGAATGTGTGGTTTTTCTTTTGGCCAGTCTTAGGACTCTGTCTCACCTGTCACTGAAGTTATTATAACCCCCGAGACAGTTTGTTTGGGAATTAGACCTGCTGACCTACAATATGGGCAACTTACTGCCAGGCACATTCACACAGAACGATGCAGTGCGCTTCATTTGCATATTATTTCTTTTCTATTTATTTTATTTTCAGTCTCATAATTCTGCATGTGAGATGGGGAAAGTCTGTTGTTTCTATTGCAGTATTAATCCCATGTTTAGTTGCCCAGCAGGAGCAACATTAGTGTTCAGTGGGGTCATGTTTGTGTCCACCTGGCGAATGTAATCCCCTGATTTAGCCTACTTTTCTTGTAGCTTTGTTTTTGGTCTCTACCAACTCCTGAGGGAAATATCTGACTCTTCAGCTACTAAATGCTCCACTCTGTTCACCAGTTAGTCGCTGACTGTGTCTTGTCTGCTGTTTGCTGCTGGGCAGGTATGTACAGTGGGTTTTTAGAGCTTTTTCACTGCAGTCAGGAATTACTGTACAAGTAGTCATGGGATCCATTCTTAATATAAAACTTTGATAATAGCAATTATGAGCTTGCCTCAAAATAACAACTAAATTAAATGAAGAAGTATTATTTAAAACTAGATTGATGTAGAGCTGATTCCTATATTACTCGATTAGTGTATCAACTGTTATGATAACTGATTATCAGTCATCTTTTAAGCAAAAATGCCAAATATTCTTAGTTCCTGCTTCTCATTTGTGATGATTTGCACTGTTTCTTTATCTGATGAGACAGTAAACTGTATGTCTTTAAGAGTTGGATTCAAGGAGTGTCCAGTTTGGTGTACTCAGAATCCTGTCTCTACTCTTTGAAGATGATGAAGATCAATATCACTTACATGTCTGCAAATAAAGCTGCCACCAGCAGCTGGTTAGCTTATTTAAGTTTGGCATAAAGACTGGAAAAAGGGGGAAATGGCTTACCTGGCTCGGTCCAAAGGTAACAAAAACCTAGACTCCAGGAAGTTACTGCGCCTGGCAAAGAAATAGTCATAGAAGAAATAAACATAACCTCCCGTCAAACTCAAACATATTATTTTTATACTTCAGCTTTTGTACAGATCAAGCAAACAAAATATAACATGTTAGTGATCTTTAGTGGTGCTGGTAGGTAGATTTTGTTACCTTTGGACTGAGGAATGATAGATGTTTCCCTTGTTTCCGGTCTTTGTGCTAAGCTAAGCTAACTGGTAGCTTTATATTAATTTATTTTTATTATACTAACCCATACAGAATCAGTCTTTTTATCTAACTCTCTGCAAGAGACTAAATAAATGTATTTCGAACAAATGTCAAACTATTCCTTTAACTGGCGGATTGGTGTAATGTTGCAGATATCAAGTGCAACTACTCACTAGC